TTTTTTTTTTGTTAAGAAAAAAAGAATCAATAATATGAAGTTGTAAATATTATTAGTATTATAAATACATAATTTAAAAGATATAATTAAAAATACCTTTTTTGGCAAACTTAGTGTAAAAATATGGGCACCATTTGAATTAATTATCACTTTGTTCGTTACACATTATTGTTGCATATTCATGATACATAATTTCACAATAATGTATATAATTTTAATTTTTATTGTATAAATATTAATTTATTTAAGTACCCGTGTAGTATACGAGTATTGTACTAATAATCAAATAATATCAATAATTCTTATACATCATATCAACTTCGTATTCATTCAGTCACATAATTTTAATTATCACTTTATCTCATATACCTCATACTTTTACATCAAATCAATTTTAATTATTTTATTTTAAACATTACTTTAATATAAAATCAAAATCCCACTAACAACTAACCATATTCATTTTTTCTAAAATTAACTCTGGTTAATCGAAATAACGCATTTTGAGCGAAAATAATTGTATACAAACAAACACGCTCACGTATGACTATAAAAAGAAAAGCCCATGCAATAATTGTGTACAACTCCTAATCCAACTATAGTACTATACACATATATACATCACTAAGAGCTTAGAAGTGGAAAAAAAAAAAAAAAAAAAAAAAAAAAAAAAAAAAAAAAAAAAAAAAAAAAAAAAAAAAAAAAAAAAAAAGCAGCTTAGAAGTGCTCTCTGCCTCTCATCTGTTATTCTTATTTTATCTTTTCATTTTACAACATACACAGATTGGCTGTGTATGCATATATTGGCAGTTAATAACTGCTAGAACTTCCCAAGGAGCTGAAAAATGCAAGCATATTGTCATAAACATCTTCCTTCGATTTCACGCTCAAAAGGAAATCAATATGACCATAATTTTCGAGATAAAGAAGATTGGGTTGCGATGGTAACTTCCTGAGTGTATGATGCACGTCTTGGACATCTGCTAATGCATCATTGCCCCCATAACCCATCCATATCGGCAATGAACTTGGAATCGAGCTGAGATCAAAAGTCGGAGGCTGTGTTTGGCTGTAGTAAAACAGATTTTTCCACATTCCATAGTCATACATAGCGAAAGTACCTTTACGGATCACTGTAGTGTCAAACACAACGGTTGAACAAAACCAGTCAGTTCCTTTACAGCCTTTTATCGCTACCTTTAACAAATAATTCTGTTGTGATAAAGGAATATTAAAGTATTGCAAAGAGAGAGAGAGAGAGAGAGAGAGAGAGAGAGAGAGAGAGAGAGAGAGAGAGAGAGAGAGAGAGAGAGAGAGAGAGAGAGAGAG